CGCTGTTTCTGCGCACCGACACTTCGCTGCCGCCGTTCTACATCCTCGTGTACGTCGACGACTTGGTCTTTGCCACTGCTAACACTGAGGCTCTCGCCGTGGTGAAGTCGGAGCTGCAGAAGAGACACACGTGCACAGACCTGGGTGAGCTGCGCAGCTACCTTGGCTTGCAGATCACCCGGGACAGAGCACGCCGCACCATCACACTGACTCAGTCACACATGGTGCAGCAGGTCCTTCAGCGCTTCGGCTTCACCTGGTCCTCAGCACAGGCCACTCCTCTGGCTACAGGTCACTTGCTCTCAGCTCTACCTTTGGACGAATCCGTAGAGCCGAGTGGTCCTTACCCAGAGCTAGTGGGCTGCCTCATGTACCTGATGACCTGCACTCGTCCTGACCTTGCGTACCCTCTTGGCCTTCTGGCTCGCTACGTGGCTCCTGGTCGGCACCGAAAGGTGCACATGGATGCTGCTAAGAGGGTACTACGCTACTTGTGCAGTACATCGGGCATGGGGCTCGTGCTTGGAGGACGGGGCGACGTTGTCCTCATTGGTCACTCAGACGCTTCTTGGGTTGACGACCTGGCTACGCAGCGGTCGTCACAGGGTTACACGTTCAGTCTTGGCTCTGGCTCTGTTTCTTGGCGGTCTACAAGCTCGTCTTCTGTTCTCAGCTCCAGTTGTGAGGCTGAGATCTACGCCACAGCCATGGCTGCACAGGAGTTACGCTGGCTCACCTACTGACCGACCTGGGAGAGCGGCCTCGCTCTCCTCCAGTTCAGTACGTAGACAACAAGGCCGCCATTGCCTTGTGTGAGGAGCACAGACTGGATCACATAACGAAGCACATCGCTCTGCGTTACTTCCTTGCTCGAGAGTTGCAGCAGCGAGGTCAGCTTCGTCTTGCTCACGTGGCCACTCGGGCCAACACTGCTGATATATTCACCAAGGCACTTCCACCTGGTGATCATCAGCGCTTTTGTACTTTGTTAGGCCTTGTGCCCACGTTTCCTCACTTGGTGTTGGCTTTGCTTGTACTGTGATCGATATATATACCTGCATGCTTGTTTTACTAGGTAGAGATCACTGTGCTGTGGTTGTTGCATATATACCTCTGCATGTGAACTGGCCTTGTGGCTCTTTGCTTGTGCTCAGTGTGTGTGGTGACGTTGTGATCCATCCTGAGCTTGCTTTGTTTCTCTTGACTGGTCTTGTGACCCCTTGCTCTCCCCCACTTTGCCTATGGGGGTGTGTCAAATTATATGTATGATATATATGTTTAGGCTGTAGTGGGGTAGCCAATATGGGGTACAGCCCTTTTTAGGGTTTCATACTTGTACCCAACACTTTCCTAGTTCATTTCATTCCTGCCTAGATTCTTGACAAAGATTGCAAGAAGGAATGATTGACTATCGAGAGAGTTTGGTACAAGTATAAACCTAAAGGGGTTGTACCCTACATTGGCTACCCCACTAGAGCCTACACCCAATTATAAAGCATATATATAGTTTGACAATATTAAGGTCGTAACCTGTATACAATCATACATAGAGCGAGCAGGGAATATGGCCACAGGGCCAACAACCTATAAGGAGTACGTCCCAACACGTTATCCCCCTATCCCCGAGGGGATATCCCCCAGTGCATGTGGGGGAGCGCTCTAAGATGGAGATAACATTTATGGTGGACGGAAGGGGTTGCCAAGAAGCCACGAGGCGCGAAGGGCTGGATGGATGGAGGGGACGCCTGTGGCGTCAAAACAAATGAAACGGAGACGGGTGGCGGTCTTGATGCGAGAGGCGGAGCGTTGTTGTTTTTTAGCAGACTGGGCGGACCTTCTCCACGAAAAGATGTTGAAAGCGAGAAGGAACCAGGCGAGGATGCGTTGAAGAACATCAAATTTGGTGGTAGACGTTTCGTGAAACTTTCTCTCACATCTCGCGTTCCAAATCCCCTTGGCAGCTGCACCTTCGAGGAGACTCCATGGAGCGATTTGTCCAACTCTCTCGCGGAGAGGAAAAAGGAGAAGCTCATCCGGGGGCGAGCAACCGAGGTGGCGGCGGGCGACCGAGCCAAGCGCAGATATCACAGTGGGAGCAATACCACAGCGAACGAAAAATGTGGGAGATGATCTCGGTGTCAATGAGGGTTCTCGTTGTGGGTAGCAGGGTAGGTAGGGTCTTGTCTAGACAGCAAGAAAGAAACACATTACACCTGAATCAGGAAGCCAGCAGCTAAAATAGTGACCCCCCCCTTCTAGTTGGGTCCACTTGAAGTCTTAACGTTTTGGAAAGTTGAAAGTGATGTTTTTTTTTCCTTTTCAAACGCGTTTGAAACTGTTCGGGTCTTCACAGATTTCGTCAAACAAAAATCGTCGCAAGAATGTGCAATTCACGCGCATGTGCAATGGCTGCGTTCTGCAGGCATCTCCCTTGGGAGGGAGGTGGGGGGGCGAAGGGAAATGACGATGGTTCCGAGACAGTTTCCCCTTCGAATCCCCCCCCCCCCCCCCCCCCCCCCCTCGCTACAACCGAAAATTGGAAATTTCGGGTTTAGGGTGCGAAGCTGCTGAAGGTAAATGCCGAAAAAACAGCCACAATTTCCAACGCACAGAGGTGGGGTACAGAGAACAGCGCGAAATCAGAAAAAGGGTTGAATTTTAGCAAGGGGCTACCATGTAGAAAAAATGGCACCCAAGCACTCCCTCCAGCAACACACAAACCTCGGTTGGTGGCTTGTGCTTTTTAAACCTAGGTTGACGCGTCCCTGTTTGGGCTACTTAAAACCCGCGTCTCATATTTTCTACGGTATTACACTTGGTTGGGCTAAAGCACCTGTGTGTGAAAAGTTTAAAAGGAATTAAGAAGAAGGAGGGTTGCACTAGCAAGAATGAGGATACAAATAGCAAACCCTAGAAGGGTTGTACTCGCTATAGAGCACCCCACTACAGGCTAGAGCATAATATTCTGACACACCCCCATAGCCAAAGTGGGGTGTAATCAGCAGAGCAAGCAAAGCAGTACAAGCTCAGGGTGGATCACAATGTCACCACACATTCTGAGCACAAGTTCAAGAAGCAATAGTTTAAAGTTCACAATTATGAGCAAAGCTAGAGGCTATCGCAGAGGGCAAGTGAGGAGGAGGAGAGACTGTGGGGGAGAGAAGATGGGAGGCGACTGCTGACGCTGCAGACACACAGACGAGCTGCTGGCTCAGTGGCTACCGGAACAACGCTCCGGACTACTGGGGTAACTGGCCCCGCGGCTAAAAGTAGCGGCAGACGAGCAACGGACCCACGGGCGACTGGCGACTACCGGAGGTTGTAGCCTCCGGACTGCTGCTGCTGCTGACGACAAGACTGCTGCCTCCACTCGACCTCCCCCAAACAGTACCACCCCTCCTGACACACACCCGCTGCTACACCGCTAGCTCCACTCCCCCTTCACCCCCCCTTAGCACCACTCCAACGGCTCCAACAAGTCCACCCCCCCTCAGCGGCAGCTGCAGCACAGGGAGACGGAGGAGGAGGAGGAGCAGGGAACGGCACACAGTAGTTTCACCCCCATACCCCTCACCCCCAAACCCTAATTCAGGAGAACGGGCTGTAGGAGGGGTGGGGCGCCAGCAGAAGCACGGGGGACAGCGGGGAGGGCAGGGGCAGCGAGGAAAGGGCCGCCCACGGGCCTGGCACAGCCTCCCGAACCGCGCGCAGGCGGCCCGAGCCGCGCGCGGGCCTGGCGCAGCCCGTACGGGCCGCGCGCGGGCCTGGCGCAGCCCGTACGGGCCGCGCGCGGGTCTGGCGCAGCCCGTACGGGCCGCGCGCAGGCCTGGCGCAGCCCGTACGGGCCGCGTGCCGGCTGTACGGGCCGCGCGCAGGCCACGACGGGCGACGGGGGGCGACGCGCGGGTCCCCGTCGCCCGTCGCAGCGCCTCCCGAGGGCGACGCGGCGAGTGACGGGGTAGAAGCCCGCCGCGCGCCTCGGGGCGCACAGCGGGCAGAGAACCGCCGCGCGCCACGGGGCGCACGGCGGGCAGAAAACCGCCGCGCGCCTCGGGGCGCACGGCGGGAAGAAAAACTGCCGCACGCCACGGGGCGTGCGGCACAGAAGGTAGTAGTGGAAGTTGCAGCGGAAGCAACGAGGTGGTGAGCCCACCCACAGGATCGATCCAAGGGGATCGACCTGCTCTGATAGCATGTGAAAGTAAGCAGTAGAAGAAGGCGCCATAGCTAGGAAAGCCCTAGCTAGGCAAGAAACAGTTTAGGCAAAGAAGGAGAGGTTGCACTAGCAAGAATGAGGATACAAATAGCAAACCCTAGAAGGGTTGTACTCGCTATAGAGCACCCCACTACAGGCTAGAGCATAATATTCTGACACTGTGATTGGGTTACGAGAGGCGAAATTTGTGACGAGCAGTTTGAAATACACGGACGAAACGTCAGTTCGTCCAGTCAAAGCCAAACGAACCCCTCAGGCATGGAAAGCTACCACACCTGAAAAATGTACCTGGCAGAATCGCACTTGCGTGCGACCAACCAAAACGGCTAGACACAAATCGCCCACCTTTACCAGGAAAAGCAGATCAAGACACTCGGCTGTGATACTTAGTTCCGCCGCACTTGAAAGTACCTCCGCTAGTAAGATGCTGACGGACTGCACATAAACATGGCTTACGCAGTCTATTAGATCGCGTTTCGGAGATCGGTGAATTGCATGTATGGTAGGGGATAACGCAGATTAGGAAATGCCATGCTTCAATAGTTTCAGCGAGAGGTCACGACCTACGCTCGCAGTCGCGATTGCCTAACAGGGGCGCGACGGCCATCTACGGCAAGCGAAGGAATCGCTCACCCCCAGGTCCATCGCTCACCCCCAGGTCCATCGCTCAACCGCAACTTCACCCCAAGATCCACCGCGAATGGCGGAATTGGTTTAGGTTTTAGAGCGGAATTGGCGAGACGCGAGGAGCGGAATCGGCGAGACTCGAGGAGCGGAATCTGCCCTACGCGACGAGGTGGCTTCGCCATATCGCAGCAGCTCCTCCTGTAGCCCCGCCGACCTCATGCGGTGAATCGAGGTCTGCGGTGTGCGCGTGTGTGGGGTGGCGCTGGTGAACAATGAGCGGGAGGGCGAGCAGATGTACCGCGCGGGGGGAATCAAACGGTGGAGATATCGTGGAGAGTGGCACCACTCGGTCTTCCTGCTGCACACTACCTCCACCTACCACATTCGCAAGGCCGCTGCAGGTATGCTGGGGGAACAGTGCGGGGGTGGTGGGGTTGGGGGGAGATTCAGGGGAGAGTGGGGTAGGAAGAGGCCACGTGGGTGTGTAGCCTAGAGATGGGCAAGGGTGAGGGTAAGGGTGGGTGTGTGGGGGAGGGCATCACGTGCCCACGCGCACCAGCAGCCTGCAGTGCCCCTTCCTCCCACTCTACCCGTCCCCGACTGTCTCCTCACCTGTTTGCCCTACTGTGTGCCCTCCTGAGTGCCGTCAACTTATCTCCGCGCTGCTTCCTCAGCATGTCCTCTTTTAATCCCGCCCCCCTTCCCTCTCTCCCCTCTCCTACCCACTATCCCCTTCCCTCTCTCCCCTTCCCTCTCTCCTCCTTCCGCCCGCATCTGTTCAGGTCAGCCCATCCACTCAATCAGCAGCTCGCTCCACTACCACCCCTCCACCCACCCATTCCCTTCCCCAGCTGCCACACTCGCTGTGTGATTAAATGTAGTCCTCCCACTTCTCCCACACCTCCTCTCCTCGGACTCCAACCCACCAGCTCTCCCACCATCCCGCACTCGCCTCCCCTATTTCGCCCCCTTCTTATTCCGAGTGGAAACATTTTGCTGCCTTTCAAGAACCTTCTCCACGTTCCTTTCGCTATGATTGCTGCCCCCTCCTCCTCCCCTCCTCTCCCTGTTAACCCAACCTCACCCCCCTCCTCCACCAACATCCCTCATCTCCTGCTCGCCATCGGGCTCGAAGAGGAGAAATAGGGTAGCGGGGGGAGGTGAGGGTTGGGACAGGGCTGCGGCAACATTTGATGTTAGAGAGTGGGGAGAGGGGGGTGGAAGAGAAGGGGGAGGGGGAGCGGGAGGGGGAGGTGGGGAAGGTGAGTGCTGTGGTGGCGGCCATGAGTGTGGAAAGCCCTTTCCTTCTCCATCTGCCCTCCTTTTTTTTCATTTCCCCTACTATGCCATCCCATCTCCTGTCCCGTCCCTTCTCATCTCCTCTCCCGTTCTTCTCATCTGCCGTCCCTTCCTTCCCATCTTGCGTGCCAACCTCCCTTCCTTCCATCACCCCTACCCTCTTTTGTTCTCCCCGTCCCCCCTTCCTACCACCTTTCACATCTCAACTGCCCTTTTTCTCATCCCTAGATCCCTCCTTCCTCCCGCCACCTCTCCCTTTGTTCCAGCTACAAGCAGGACTAAGCTAGTCCCAGGCCAGCCTGGCTGAACGGAAGGGACAGGCAAGCAGCAGATGCACGACCAGATGCACGAAGGCCAGACCGGCGCTAGAGGATAGTTGTTCCCCATATCTTCAAGATATTACTCAACTGTATACATTCAATAAGTTCATTCAGTGCTGTACTCAATTGCACCTTCAAAGATGGATGCATTAAAGCAATCTGAGAATCAACTGTAATATGCTATTGAGAGTCAAGAGACTAGGAGAGTTTGGCAAGCCTACTTTGCGAACAACTGAGTTTTTATTCTACGCATTAGTTACAAAACTAAGGATGAACTGGTTCTTTGTGGCGCCATGCTGAAACAAGCACATCAACAGGTGGGCGGGAAGTGGGGAAGCAGAGGGGAGACAAGTGGGGAAACTGAGGTGAGGCATGGGAGGAAACTGAGGTGAGGCATGAGAGGAAACTGAGGTGAGGCATGGGAGGAAACTGAGGTGAGGCATGAGAGGAAACTGAGGTGAGGCATGAGAGGAAACTGAGGTGAGGCATGAGAGGAAACTGAGGTGAGGCATGGGAGGAAACTGAGGTGAGGCATGAGAGGAAACTGAGGTGAGGCATGAGAGGAAACTGAGGTGAGGCATGAGAGGAAACTGAGGTGAGGCATGAGAGGAAACTGAGGTGAGGCATGAGAGGAAACTGAGGTGAGGCATGAGAGGAAACTGAGGTGAGGCATGAGAGGAAACTGAGGTGAGGCATGAGAGGAAACTGAGGTGAGGCATGAGAGGAAACTGAGGTGAGGCATGAGAGGAAACTGAGGTGAGGCATGGAAGGAAACCGAGGGTGTGTATGAGATGAGGGAACGGGAAAGGGGGATGAGGGAAAGGGAAAGGGGGATGCGGGAAAGGGAAAGGGGGATGCGGGAAAGGGAAAGGGGGATGCGGGAAAGGGAAAGGGGGATGCTGGGAAGGGAAAGGGGGATGCTGGGAAGGGACGAGGATGCTCTCCTCCTGTCCCTCTCTCGTCGCGTCCCCTCCTCTCTCGTCGCGTCCCCTCCTCTCTCGTCGCGTCCCCTCCTCTCTCATCGCGTCCCCTCCTCTCTCGTCGCGTCCCCTCCTCTCTCGTCGCGTCCCCTCCTCTCTCGTCGCGTCCCCTCCTCTCTCGTCGCGCCCCCTCCTCTCTCGTCGCGTCCCTAACTCTCTCGCCGCGTCCCTAATTCCCTCGTCGCGTCCCCTACTCGCTCGTCAGGTCCCCTCCTCTCTCGTCGCGTCCCCTCCTCGCTCGTCGCGTCCCCTCCTCGCTCGTCGCGTCCCCTCCTCTCTCGTCGCGGCGACGATTGCGGTGAGGCATGAGAGGAAACTGAGGTGAGGCATGGAAGGAAACCGAGGCTTCCCGTCCCTTTCCGTCGGCGCGTGTGCTCCCGTTTCCTGTCGCGAGTCCCGTTCCTGGGGCGTCGCTTCCCCTCCTTCCCTGTCCCGTCATATCCTGTCCGCTTCTCTCCCCTCTCACCTTATCCCGTCCCGTCCCGTCCCCTCTCGTCTCGTCGCGTCCCTCCTTCCACGTTCCGTCCCGTCCCGTCGTAACCAATACCGTCCCTTCCAATCCCCTCGCGTCCTTTCCCATGCGGTCGCGTCTTCCCGTATTCTTCCTTCCGTAATTCATCGTCCCGTTTTGTGCGCTGGTCAGCTATTGCTACGCTCTCTCTTCTACTAAACTATGGTGCCGCTTTCCCCTCCTGTGGTTAGCGCAGCAATCGGCTGTACGATCCTCCCTGTCGATCGAGGGTCCGTACGTACGCAGATCTGCGTGAAATGCCATGAACAGGCTCAAACCCTAAACTAAGTCGTTGAAAAAAAAAACTAAGTAGTGGTTGTGTGGAGGTCACTCTCCTCTCCAGCTGCATCCGGATTGATCTGGAGTCTCGTATTTTTCTGCTGCGGTATTACGCTTGCTTTCTCTGTGTTGCCAACCTTCGTCGCACAACGTGGTGTGTTTCTCGCAAAAACGGTTGGGCAGTCGTGCATCTGCCTTGCCCAACCTGATGGGCCTGCAACCAATCACAGGTGCTCCCAACGGAACCCAACAAAGTTGCGACTGGTTCGAGTGGTAACTCGGTTTCGAGCGTATTACTCTTGGTTGGATGGAAGAAATATGAGACGCGGGTTTTAAGGGAGGGGCTGTTTGCTTTCTAGGGCGTCCATGCCACAATCTATGGGTTCATGTGGTTCATGACAAAAATCACGCACAAAAAATCAACAGACCACGAAATGGGAGGGGAGAACGAGAGGGAGACGGGACGATTTGGGGGGCGACAGGGCTACGACGTGGGTGATGCGAAGGGAGAGAGGAAGGGCGATTTGAGGCGAGGGCGATTGCGACAAGGAGGGTGATGTGAGGGGAGAGAGAAAGGGTGACGCGATGGTGACGGACGATGTGAGGGAAGAGTGTGAGGGTGACGGGAGGGGGGTGATACGAACGGAGAGAAAATGGGTGATGGGGAGAGAGAGAGGGCAACGAGGTAGGTAATGGGAAGGCGGCGATGAGGGTGTCGCGAGGAGCGACGAAAAAAGTGAGGGCATATGTGACGGGGAGAGTGACGCTGCGAGGGAAAAGCGAGAGGGGCCGACGATCACGGGGCGACAGGGCGACGGGCAGGCATTTCGGGGCGAGCGCGAAGGCGCCGAGGTGGGTGATGGGGCGGGAGAGATGGCGACGGAAGAGAGGAAGACGGGAGGGGAGGGGCGACGGGAGAGAAGACGGGTGACGGGAGAGAGGATAGGAGACGGGAGGAAGAAAGGGTGACGGGAGAGAGGAACGGCGACGGGAGGGAGGAAGAGCGGCGGGAGAGAGAATAGGCGACGGGAGAGAGGAAGGGCGACGGGAGAGAGGAAGGGCGGCGGGAGAGTAGGAATAGCGACGGGAGAGAAAGGCGACGGGAGAGTAGGAAGGGCGACGAGAGAGTAGGAAGGGCGACGGGAGAGTAGGAAGGGCGACGGGAGAGAAAGGCGACGGGAGAGAAGGGCAACGGGAGAGAAGGGCGACGGGAGAGAAAGGCGACGGGAGAGAAGGGCGACGGGAGAGAAGGAAGGGCAGCGGGAGAGAAGGAAGGGCGGCGGGAGAGAAAAGCGACGGGAGAGGAAGGGCAACGGGAGAGGAAAAGCGACGGGAGAGGAAAGGCGATGGGAGAGGATAGGCGACGGGAGAGGAAAGGCGATGGGAGGGGAGGGGAGAGATAGCGTGGCGACGCGAACTGAGGGGAGGGCCGCGACGGGAGATAGCGAGGGCGACGTCGATGGAGGCGACAATTCGGGCGACGGGACGACGTCGGGACGGACGGCGCGAGGACGAGTGAGACGGGAGGACGAGTGAGACGGGATAGGAAGGCGGCGAGAGGGCAATCTAACCGGCACAATTACTGCGCAATCACGACTTATAATCACTACGCGCCAAAGTTGCGGTAACAACAGCCTAAGTTAGTGCTATATGGCTAGACAAGCAACTAAAAACTAAGAAGCACGAAAAAATGGACGTAAGAAGTAGTAGTACTTCACCCATGCCCAACTTGAACCCCAAGCTGGGCAAAAAATCGCAGGGACGTGACAAAACGATCGCAGTGCTTCTGCTCTGCGGCTCCCCAAACAGATATGCGACGCCTGACGTGGTGTGTTCCTTTTTTCGGTTTTGGCGGGAACCAATCAAATTTGTTCGATCTGTTCAAACGCTCTCAATAGAACAGTGCAAACTTGTCGGTTTGGTTTTGAAAATTGTTTCGCTCGACAAGCTCTCTTTCAAGCTGGAGACGGGTTCACTATTTTGCATTTCGGTTATTTTTTCTCTACCCGAACATGACAACTCTTTGCCACTGGAATGAATTGCTGTTTGGATGAAGGCAACATGTACAACATGAGAGATGTACAGCATGATAAGGACCTTCCTACTTCCCCTGTGCATTGAGGCGATTCTTTAGGCTAGGCAAGGCACGAACCGTATGAACATGAGCGACGCACCGTATGTGGTACGAACCTGTACCAGCACAGTGAAAGCTTTACACGTCAAACTACTGCCGAACATGTGGCTGCACAATTTGAGGGAATGTCCACCAATTATGAAACAATAATATCTACATAGACACACAGAGGTCGCAGTGTACAGTACATGACGTGTGACTACACGGTGTGCTTGCGGTCAGCCATGACGCGCATGATGCAGCCCAGCCCCGCCTTCTCCGTCAGCTTCTCATGCACCCGCAGCGCCCGCGCACACAGCGCTGCATCCCCTGCTCTCAGTGCCCGGTACAGGTACCTGCAGGGGGTAAGGGGTGCGGTGGGGTGAAAGGGGCACACAGCGAGTCATCCCCCGTCCTCAGTGCGCGGTACAGGTACCTGTAGGGGCAAGGCAATAAGGGGGGCCACGTGAGTATGGAGGAGCGACACCGCGGTGTGCAGGGGGCATGGCAGGGTGAAGGGGGCATGGCAGGGTGAAGGGGGCACGGCGGGGTGAAGGGGGCATGGCAGGGTGAAGGGGGCACGGCAGGGTGAAGGGGGCATGGCAGGGTGAAGGGGGCATGGCAGGGTGAAGGGGGCACGGCGGGGTGAAGGGGGCATGGCAGGGTGAAGGGGGCACGGCAGGGTGAAGGGGGCATGGCAGGGTGAAGGGGGCACGGTGGGGTGAAGGGGGCATGGCAGGGTGAAGGGGGCACGGCGGGGTGAAGGGGGCATGGCAGGGTGAAGGGGACACGGCGGGGTGAAGGCGCACACAGCGATGCAACCCCCCCTCCTTAGTGCGCAGTAGAGGTACCTGCTGTGGCATGACGATGTGCGGGGACATGTTGGGGTGGAGGGGCAGCAATGTGGAGGAGTGAAAGAGTGAGGGAGTGCGGTGGGGTGAAGGGGCGCGGTGGGGTGAAGGGGCGCGGTGGGGTGAAGGGGCGCGGTGGGGTGAAGGGGCGCGGTGGGGTGAAGGGGCGCGGTGGGGTGAAGGGGCGCGGTGGGGTGAAGGGGCGCGGTGGGGTGAAGGGGCGCGGTGGGTGAAGGGGGGTGAAGGGGCACGGTGGGGTGAAGGGGCGCGGTGGGGTGAAGGGGCGCGGTGGGGTGAAGGGGCGCGGTGGGGTGAAGGGGCGCGGTGGGGTGAAGGGGCGCGGTGGGGTGAAGGGGCGCGGTGGGGTGAAGGGGCGCGGTGGGGTGAAAGGGCGCAGTGGGGTGAAAGGGCGCGGTGGGGTGAAAGGGCGCAGTGGGGTGAAAGGGCGCGGTGGGGTGAAGGGGCACAAAGAGAGTCATCCCCTGTCCTCAGTGCTCGGTACAAGTACCTGCAAGGGCAAGGCGATGTGCGGGGACATGTTGGGGTGGAGGGGCACAGCAATGTGAAGGGTGAAGGGCACAGGGGGTTGTGTGTGGCATAGTGGGACATGTAAGAAATGGACAAGGGGGAACGGGTGGTGGGGAGGAAAGAGAGAGGTGCCAGATGAGACAAAAAAAAAGGGGGAGACACAAAAGTGGGAGCAACGAATGGGTGGAGAGCGAGGCATGAAAGCGAGCAGCAACAACAGCAGCAATAGCTGCAAGAAGCCTGAGTTCACCCTCTAAATTCGCATGCATATCCCCTAACACACAGCACTGACCGCATGAGTGTGTCGCACCCCTCGGACTTGAGCCCTGCGATGGCACCATCCACGTCCTCCACCGCCACCAGCGCCCGCTGCACCACCTCCCAGTTGGCGTCCTGCCCGCCCCTCCCCAGCACAGCAGGGCACGGAGTGGCACACAATGGAGTTGAAGGTGTGAATGAGTGAAAGGTTGGGCGGATGACCAGTGTTGAAAAAGGCGGCCACCAATGTCCGCTGCACCACCTCACAGTTGATATCCTGCTCACCTCTCACCAGCACAGCAGGGCACGGGGTGGAACGAAATTAAGGGATTGTGTGAACGAGTCAACGAAGGTTGACGGAAACTACAGCTGCACCGAGGGGCCACGGTGGGATACATGTGTGCCAACACGTTAAGGAATGCGCCTGCCATGCTCTTGATGTTTGGGAGGGGCGGGGCGGGCTAAGAAAATGAGAACATGTAGGCAGAAAAGGGGGAAAGGGTAAAAATGAACATCCTATTCCCCCCCTCACTCTTTCCCCGTCCCCCCACTCCCAACCCCACCCCTGCGGGCTGCCCCGAGCGTAATGCAACCGAATTGCACACGTGCTGCGTATTTCATATGCATGCACGCATCACGTTGACTCTCCATATATTTCCTTCCACCTGAAAGGTGTATCCAAGCACTCAGCCTCGGTCCGCACAGCACACCTCCCTCCCCCACCGCACCTTGCATTTCTGGTCGCGCGTGGCAATGGGCGGGTCGCTCACAGCCGCCTTGAGCGCTTCTGGCACTCGACCCCTGCCGGCCCCGTGCACGCGGGGAGGAGCGGGAGGGAAAGGAGAGGCGAGGCAGGGGGGGAAGAGGGAGCGGCAATGGGCGGGTCGCTCACGGCCGCCTTGGCGCCTCTGGCACACGACCCCTGCAGGGCAGGCCCCGAGTGCACCTAGGGATGGGGAGTGCGGGGAAGGGGGTGGAGGGGAAAGGCAGGGGTGGGGGACAAGCGCCTTTGAGGGCCTCTGGAACACGATCCCTGCAGGCCCTGTGCTCGCGGGGAAGGGGGGAGGGGGGAAAGGAGGAAGGGGGAGAAGGGGGTGGAGGGGGAAGGCAGGGGGAGGGAGCAAGCGCACCATCACGCTCACAGCCGCCTTGAGGGTCTCTGGCACTCGACCGCTGCAGGGCAGACCCGTGAGCACCCAAGGGGAGTGGGGAGGAGGGAAAAAAGGGGGAGGAACGAGCGCACCTGTACGGTCACATGGGGAGCAGTCAGGTGCATCTCGCATGCAGGGGAGAGAAGGGCGAACGGAGGGAGCGTGGGAGGGCCGAATCGAGGGAGAGAGAGGGGCGGATGGAGCAAGAGAGAGAGGCGAATGCATGCAGGGAGCGAGAGGGCCGAATACAGGCAGCGTGGGAGGAGCGAACGGAGCGAGAAGGAGCGGGGAATGGAGGGAGCGGGACGGGCGAATGTAGGGAGCGGGACGGGGGAAAAGGAGAGCAAGAGGGCAAATGGAGCGAGCGAGAGGGGTGAATGCAGGAAGTGAGAGAGACGATGGAGAGGGCAAAGCGGCGAATGCAAGGGGCGTGGAAGGGGCGAATGGCGGGAGCGAGAAGGACGAATAGAGCGAGATAGAGGGGCGAATGCATGCAGGGACGTGGGATGGGCGAATGGAGCGAGCGAGATGGCGAATGGAGGCAGCAAGAATGGCAGGCAAACGCGGAAGGAGCGGCTCACTCGGACAGGAAGTGGGCGACGCGCTGCGATCGGTCGTCGATCTTGGCGAGAATCTCGTCGGGGCTCTCCGCGTCGGCGTCGTCGTCCGACCCCATCGCCAGCTCCTCCTCCTCCGCCATCCCCGCCGATCCCACCTACGCCCCGCTGCCACCTCCTGCTACCACGCGCTGCGTCCCCTGAGACCCGCTACGAGGCCGCGACAGTCAAGGGTTCGCCGCTGCCCTAGTGCCCACCGACCTAAACACTGAACCTAGGGTGGTAGAGAAACCTAGATGCGGTGGGGAATATAGGAAAGGAATGTGTGAACGTGGGAGTGTCAGGACAGAAATTTAGGGTGGGGGGGGTATCGAAGACATTTTCCCCAGCCCAGGTGACGAGTCAGTATAGGGTCGAATTCTGGTTACCAAGCTCACTTGCGAGTGCGAAACGAGTCGAAACGCAGTTTTCGCGTTATACGAGCTGGACAACGAATTTCGGTCGCTTATAACATGTTTATTTTCGAATATTTTTATGAGCCCGTTAGGAATTTTGCTTGAAATCTTAATAAAAAATCTTCACGAACTTGTGTTCTACAAAATCAGCCACCGGTTTTTTAGAATTTCCGTCATCTCCGGTATATAGGACCCGGGGGTCTTATCAAATATGTTTAAAAAGTAGTATAGGTAAACAATACCAACAACATCATAGAATTTCCAAAACCATGTTCAAATCTAACTCGTTATAAAAACCCTCCAAATTCACAATGACGTGAACTTTTCGCAATGCCGCGTATTGGCATCTTGACAGGAATTTGGCCCAAATTAGGCCACGCGTCGGCGAATTTGGGCCTGACGGTTGGAATTCCCAGCAGCGCTGGCAGGGCGCTGCCATCCTGTACCTGCCAACACATGCCTGCGGCCCGCTGTGGCATGAATCTGGACAGGAGGGAAGGTTCCTCCATGGGTACTCCGTGGACGCAGAGATCGCTACAGCACAGAAACAGAAGCTGTTACAGTGGGAGAAAGACTTAGCTGTAAGAAAGGGTTCATGAAAGATTTGGGTACCGAACTATGCCCCACTCCGACAACTCTTACTCGAGGAGTTCCACGATGTGGCATACGCGGGACATTTCGGGAGTAACAAGATGGTAGCTGGAATAGCGAAGTATTATTACTGGCCTCGGATGGCAGCGGGCGTGCAGCAGTTTGTCACCTCATGCGACACGTGCCAGCAGATGAAGAGTAGCAAGCAGAAAAATGCAGGGTTACTTCAGCCTCTGTCGGAGTGAAAGGCCCCGCCCTCGCTTGGGCGCAGGCATTTTCTGCGACGACGTGGTGAATTCGATGAAGTGCTCATCGCATTGGATCAGCCTGTCCTCTGAACCCGCGGGTGGTTTTCGAGGAGGTTGTCATCTGATTCGCCAGCCCGTCAACGAGCTCTGGTCGATGGGGTGCTGTTCGACGAGCTCGTCTTCTGATCTGCTTCTGGGTCGCGCGATCTCTGACGGACGGGGTGCTTTCCGAAGAGCCCCGTTCTCTGATCGAAGGGCGCTGTTCAGCGAGTCTCATCTCGGCGAACTGGCTGGCCGAATTCGCGAGACTGCGAAACTCTGCAAGGGCATGCGAAATTCGCTCAGGTGGCTCTTAGCAAAATTCGACCTGCGAAATGGCATCACGTGCTCAACGGTGGACATCTGACGAAACCGTCGGAACGTTTTCTACCTGGCACCAGCGCAATGTCTCCGACGGTGTAACCGTCTACCTGCACCTACTCGGCAGGTGCACACCTGCGCAGATATTCACCTGCGAATGCAGCGCTGGCATGCCGCCCTGTTGCAGCGCTGGCATGTCGCCCTTCTGCTATGCTGGCAGGCCGCCCTGTTTCAGCGTTGGCGAACCGCTCTGATGCAGTGTTGGCAATTTGCCTTGCAGAATTCTTGCTAGGGATTGCAATGCCATTCCAGTGATGTCACTTGCATGCTCTTCTTTGTACTCTAATTCTCAATTTTCAATGTTCTTTCAATTTCCTTAGTGGAAACTCTTGCCAAATTTCTCAGTGAACACAGCAAGTAGTAAGAACTCTGATAGAACGCTACTAGAGCGCTACGATCACCCACACAACTCCGTGCTCTCCTTCGTAGTCCACTCCCGTTGTAGGGTGACTTTCCGCAGCCTCTACCCGTACCGAAACAACCATGGCAAGATGTCGGCCTAGATTTAATCACTGGGCTTCTTTCGACCTCACGAGGGCATGACACTATACTCGTGGTGATCGACAAGTTCTCTAAAATGGGACACTTCATTCCGACCAACGCCACGGCTACTGCTGAAGCAACTGCTCGCCTCTTCTTCGACCGCCATCACCATCCACGGCATCCCCACTACACTCATCTCAGAAAGAGACCCAAAATTCACTAGTAAGTTCTGGAGGGAACTTATGGGATTGTTGGGGACAAAGCTTGCAATGTCTTCAGCATACCACCCCCAGACCGACGGACAGACACAGAGACTCAATCAGGTGGTTGAACAGTTACTGCGCACAGCTTGCAAGGACGACATCAGCCACTGGGAAATACAGTTACCGACCCTAGAGTTCGCTTACAACAACGCTTCACATGGGGCCACAGAGAAATCTCCTTTCTTCTTGTGCTACGGACGAGAACCACTTACACCACAGCAGCCAACTACACCGGCACACGCCCAAGCCGCACATGACTTCGTCACCACCATGCAGCAACTGCGGGAGAAGACTCAGCGACGTCTCACCACGATGTAGAACTCCCAGAAGCAGTATGCCGATCGACAGCGACGAGATCACTCAGTAGCAGTCGGAGATCAGGTGCTTCTTGACACACGCAACTTGGACTTGTCTCATCTTCCGTCCAAGCTCCGGCCTCGCTTCTGAGGTCCCTTTCGCATTGAGGCGATGGTGACACCAGTTACATTCCGCTTATGCTTACCATCTACGTGGAAGCTTCACAATGCTTTCCATGTTCAGCTGCTGAAGCCCTACAAGGACCCCAACCAACAGTTCATGGGACGACAACTACCGCCACCACCACCTGTTCTCGTACAGGATGAACAAGAGTACGAGGTGGGACGAGTTCTCGCTCATCGATGCAGACGCGGCAACACGCTTGAGTTCCTGATACGCTGGAAGGGATATGACTCATCGTTGGACAGTTGGGTTGTAGTAGCTGGTATGGGCAACGCACGCCGTGCTCTCAGAGACTATCTTGTCAAGCAGGGTGTTTCTCACGCCACCCAGCTTTGAGGGGGGGGCGTGTGAGAGTACGACGGCTTTGGTGGACTTTACTTGGTTGATCTTGCTTTATTATGCATTATCTAGCTTAGCTTTAATTATCTTGCATGCTTTTGCTTGATTTCCTAGTTTCGTTTCTGAACTGTAGTTATTATAATTATAGGCACCGAAATAGGTCGAGTGCGCCGAATTCTAGGCTTTTCGGTTGACCGCCTGCGGCTGGAGGTACGCTGCCACCAGCAGTATCTCCAAGCCACCCCGGACCACCACCGCTAGGAGCCTTTCCGAGTCATGTGCGAAGGTGTCTGCAAACACCAAATCATGTACGATGCTTACTGTTGCAACCCCTCCTGCTGATTGATTTGTTCCTGGTCCGATTGCTGCTACCGCGCTTGGAATTATCTGAGTTTGGAAAATGTGATCTGCATGATTCCAAACGCCTGCTATTACTGCCACGCCCGTTTCCTTCTTCATCCAGTTTCTGCATTTCCCTTGTTTCTCCAGGCTGCTGATTCCATTTATGTTGAACTCGCAGAAAGTAATGTGCCCTATTCATTGATCAGCAACTGAGAAGACCCGTCGTATCCACGGGCTGAGATGATACATGCCGATATTCTCATGCCTAGCCACCACGTTGACATCGTGGTTCTCCGACGCATGCTGGCCGTTGCATAGGGAGCATGTGAGCTCAGTGTAGTGAACCAGCAGATGCTTCCAAGGAGTGACTTCCACCACGTGACGCTAGCGGTACTTGTCTCCTTCATGAACCATCACCAGCCCCTTAATCTTGTCCTTGTTCATCCCGTTAACTTGATCTTGCACGCGGTAAAAAGCCAAGCCTTTAGCACACGAACTTCAGGGTGCTGCCAGTTCAGCCGAATGGTGTTTTTGTCAAGACACGTATGTTCCACCATCTAACACCAGAAAAAGGTGGCGTCTGCAGCATTGATGAAGGTCATATGTAGACGGCCATAACGTTTCTTCGGCAGATGCGTTGGCAGTAGCTGCTGAAAGGTCGTCATAACATCAACATCGCTCAATTCCAGAAAACAAGCAGCTGCTTAAGCGTGTCCATAACTTTAAGCACTTTAGAGAGATGCTTTTTAGGCACAAGCAAAGTAATCAGAAACATTGCATGAGTAGCAATTTCACCCAGCTTTTCCGGATCTGCCACTTCATCCAGATCGTCACTCAAGTAGCCATCATCTTCCAGATCTTTTGCCTTTGCCACTGCTCGCGCCGAGCCACCAGCTTTCGTCTCCTTACCAGGCTTCCCTGATCCTTCCATTTCATTGTTGTTGCTCCCGTCCTTCAAAGCGTCGGCGTTCGGCGGAGCAGCGTTTAGCAGCTCATCAAAGGGACCAGTCGTCTTCTTAAAAGCAGCGACGGCAATGTGACCAGTGGAGCCATTGCCAGCGGCGAGCATACCGGCGTCATGGGTGATGCGTGCCAGCAGTTGACAATTTAGAGGCCAGCGTGCAATGATGATGAGAAGCTCCGTGAAAACAGCCTCTAGCTGAACACAGATTTGGAGATATACTTCTTCTTGTGGTGCCTGAACAGATGTTGAGGTAGAGCTTGACGAGATGTGCTAGTTATAGTGTACTTTCATTGTGTCACTTATAGTTATATCCCCCCCCCCCCCCCCTCTTTTATTGAAATCATTATAAGACCGTGAGATTTGCTAGTTTTTATCATTAAGCTCATTATTTTGAAATCAGTGTGAAATAAAGTTGCATATATGAAATGTTTATTTCTAGTTATCTTGTTGTTTGGAGCACCTAGTAAGAGGGTATTTGCCTTGTTGCGAGGTAGAAGGGAGTCCTTTCCAAGTAACTTCTTCCCCAACAAGCCGCACACGCAGCCCAACTTGGCCAATGCCTCATCTCTGGACTGCGAGATCATCCTCTGCCAATCAGGAGCCCGACGGCTGGTGGTTCTGGATTGGAGGAAAGGTGCAAACACACGCAACGCCTTCGATCGTAATACAGTAATGTTGAAAATCTGAACCGTCGATCGTTGTCGTGTCGTTCGAAGTCGTACTTTTCTCCCACGATCAGGCACGACTGCAGCGCACCGACATTCGACAGACCAAGCCTGGCTGCGTCCCTGTGGGATGGAGTGGCGGGAAAACCACCTTCTGGGCCAACCACTCTCTCCCCCCTCCAACACCAATTTGCCGAAACCACCCCCCAGCTTCGCTTTCCTGGCTCGAATGCAGCTGCCCTCGATTTTGCCTCGCCTCGAACCTAACTTCGCGCTTCGATTGTTCTATAAATTAGTTACTTGGAGATGCTTGTCAAACCCACAGTGAATGAGGTGATCTGTGTCGAACACGATTGCCTTAGACCCAGCAGTTGCTTGAAATAGTCGGATGGGTGTCGAGTCTACATTGCGACTTCATTCACGCTCCGAAACACCATGCGATACGCGCAATCTAGCAAGCACTCGAACGCTTAGCACGTGCAACTCGAGAGTCCGCTCAGCAATAGCCGACTAAGAGCGCTTACCAATCACGCGCCCAGTGCTTCATCGACTTGACAAACTCAAGATGCTGCTTTGATAGCTTCCGCCATGTCTCTCGCCTTCCCGTCGCTCATCTCGACTGTCGCTCCGCTGCCATCGTCCCTTTGGAGAGCCAACCTCTCTGTAAGCTCCACGTCGTTAATCCCTCGCATATATCGACGCATTGGCTGTATCACACCCTATTGGAGTGGGAACTGCCAATCTTCCACTCCTGGCTCCAAATGTTCCCATCTTCCCATTACCATTCCCGTATATGTCACGTATGGGTCGACGTAAGTTCTCCTTGCTTACGCGACCGTCCATGCACACCTTTTTTTTCACGCCGCTGACTTACAGAGTAGCACTATAATAGGGGCACGACGTGATTGCTCATGCACGCTCTCTGTGTTTCCCGCTGCGCCCATCCGCGCCTCGTCGTGCAGGCACCGTACCCGACAAACACGCCGTGGCAGAACTTCGTGTTGGGCGACGGTGGCAGTCCCGAGGTCGTGCCGCCCTAGGCCGTCAAGAGCAGCCACGGGCGCATCGCGTGGGGTGCTTCGCTGAGAGACGCGCAGCCGGGCTTCATCATCCAGGTGAGGCAATGAAGCCGATTGCTCCATGAAACGTCGAAGAACGGATGGTCGAATAAACGCGGCCGGTGCCAAGTAAAGCCAGGCTGAAGGCAGAAGGCAGGGTTGGCTTTTTAGGCCTCGCCTTTGCTTTCTCAAGGACGTTAGTAAACTTGCGCGTCTCACCTACCAGGCGTGCCCGGTGGAACCATGCTCACCACAGCAGTTGGTGGATCTGGCTGTTTTTTTTTTCATCTCTTCTTTTGCCGCTCGTTTGAATCGATCCGCCCCATCCTTGCGTCCCTCCCCTTGCGCACAACCCCTTCCTTCTTCGTCTGTACTGCTTTGCACTCCCAATCTTCCGCCCCATTCATTCTCTCACCTTTTGTTCTTTCCACCTGCCCTCCCAGTGCATGCGCGCCCCCACGCCACCCTGTCAGGCGTTCATGGCGGCGCTCATGCTCTCCACGCTCGAGGGCCTCTCCACTCACCAGGTCACCTCCTACGACGACACCTCCGTCACCCTCGCCTGCTCCTCTTCCTCCTCCTCGCCCTCCTCTGCGCCCGTACTGACGGTGCCACTGGTGCGCGGCAGTCCCTACCTCACGTTCCTGTTCGCGTCGCCGGGAGCCACGCCAGTGATGGCCACGGACGATGCCATCACGGAGGTGCAGTCCACGGCGGATGGCACCAAGCACCGACTCACCTTCAACAACGGACAGGTACAGCGCCAGCTGTATTGGCCCCGGCTGGCAGGCAATGTGCGTGCCCTTAGCTGCCCATTCTGTGCTAGATGCAAGTGCACCTTGCCCTTTCTTCCATTAAACTTTGTCTTTGTTTTTGTTTTTGTTTTTTTGTTCCTTCTTTACAGTCCGAATTGACTCATCCCTTCCTCTCCTCCCTTTAACCCTCCGCACCCACTGCAACCACTGGACCCCTGCAACCCCCCCGGCACTTTCCCCCTTTCAGACATGGCTGCTATACGCGTCTGCACCGCTCACCTTCTCCCTCCACAACAGCACGCTCACAGCCACGTCACCCTTCACCGGCACGCTGCGCGCCGCGATGCTTCCTGGAAACTCCCCAGCGGAGGAGGAGGCGGTGCTGGACGCATACGCAGGCGCCGTGGTGGTGGGCGGCGATGTGAAGGTGCAGCCGTGGCGGGTTAAGTACACGTGGAAGGTGGCGCCGTGGGGCACTGAGACTGCTGCCACTGATGGGACTGCTGTGCCGCTCATGCTCGCACTGCCAAGTGAGTCCTCGGGGTGAATGGGGGATGCGGGCGGTAGGGGCGACATAAAGGTGCAGCTGTGGCGGGAAGTACGCATGGAAGGTGGCGCCATGGAGCAGTGAGAGACTGCTGACACTGCTGCCGGTGTGGTGCGTGTGGCAATGGTGGTAGTATCAGCCAGTGCGGTGACAGTGGGTGTGGTGGCAGTAGGTTGTTGCACATATGTATCCTTGTCAACCCCACTTCTCCTAACCCCTCTCTCACCCTCCGTCTTTTTCCCTTCAATGTGTGCCCACTCCCTCTGTATCCCCCTCTCTACCCCCCCATGTCAGTTCATCGGCGCATGCATCTCAAAGCCTACTCCCCCGTCTCCTCCACACCTCCCCCTGGTGTCAACTTCCCGCCCGTCACCCCCAGCCTCTGCCCCTTCTTCCGCCCCTGCCTCCGTCCCTTCATCTGCCCCCGGCTCTGCCCCCGCCTCCGCCCCAGCCTCTGCTCCTGCCCCCGCCTCTGTTCCTCCCCCTTGCACCCCCACCCTCCCCCTCACCGCCGCCTCCCTCTCCGCTTCCTCCTTCCTCGCCGCATCTTCCGGGGGAGCAGCAGACGCCACCACAGCATCCGCAGATCAAACCGCCCCATCACTGCTACAGCCCCCATCAGCACCAGCAGCAGCACCCAACCCCCACGTGCTCGTATACCCCACGCTAGACGGCCCAGCAGTGGGCGTGGCAGGCAGTAGGTGGGAAGTGAAGGTGCCTCCTCTGCACGCCTCCTGGCACTCGCCCCGCCTCTCCTCCGACCCCGCCCTCCGCCTCTCCCTCCGCCTCGCACTACAGACAGACATCGCCGCCCTCACCCCCATCACCACCACCTCCTACTTCTTTGGGAAAACCGCCGCCCGCGCCGCCCGGCTGGCTTTAATTGCGGAGCAACTAGGCGAGACAGCGGCAGCAGGGACGGCGGTGGCAGTGGTGCGGGACGCCCTCACCGCATGGTTCAACGGGTCGTTCGCCGGAAACTCTCTCCTCTACGACCCGGCATGGGGCGGCATTGTGAGCTCGAGTGGGGCGGCAGACTCGGGGGCGGATTTCGGCATGGGGTGCTACAACGACCACCACTTCCACTTCGGCTACTGGCTGTATGCCGCTGCTGTGGTGGCCAAGGCGGATCCTGCATGGGCCATGACCCACCGGCACTCTGTGCTCAACCTTGTGTCTGATATCATGTCTCCCCGTGCCACTGCGGCATTCCCCAGGCTGAGGAACTTTGATTTGTACGCTCTGCACTCGTGGGCGAGTGGGCTGTTTGAGTTTGGCGACGGGAGGAATCAGGAGAGTCTCAGTGAGGCGGTGAATGGGTACTATGCGGTGGCGCTGCTGGGGCATGCGTTTGGGGATCTGCACCTGGCGAATCTGGGCGCCACACTGGCTGCTGTGGAGGCTGTTGCTGCTCAGACGCTCATTCAGGTGCCTGAGAGTGCCAATGGCGGTGATGGCGGTGGGAGTGGTGGTGGTGATGGTAGTGGGGGTGTGCCTAGCCCCTCTGCTGCACCGTCAGCAGCACCCGCAGGGGCGCCAGTACCGGCACCAGCAGAAACGCCAGCACCAGCACCAGCAGAAACGCCTGTCAGATTTATATGACATAGCTACTGTAGGCTATAGTGGGGTAGCACATATGGGGTACAGTTTTTTAGGGTTTGCTTCTTGTACCCAACTTTCACTTAGTCATTTCATTCCTCGTTTCTTCTCATGGTATCGAGCAGGTTCCCTAGTGGGAACGATTCCTAGGGCCCACCACCACGAAATTTTTTTTTTTTCCTGCCCGGAGCGCGTTTTGCGCCGGCCCGAGTCGCGCCGCCCTTTCGGCCCGTCGCGCCCGTCGCGCCCGTTGCGCCCGTCGCGCCCGTCGCGCCCGTCGCGCCCATCGCCACCTACCTCCGCGGCCCCGCCACCTACCTTCGCGGCCCCGCCACCTCACTGTGCGGCCCCGCCACCTACCTCCGCGGCCCCGCCACCTACCTCCGCGGCCCCGCCACCTACCTCCGCGGCCCCGCCACCTACCTCCGCGGCCCCGCCACCTACCTGTGCGGCCCCGCCACCTACCTTCGCGGCCCCGCCACCTCACTGTGCGGCCCCGCCACCTACCTCCGCGGCCCCGCCACCTACCTGTGCGGCCCCGCCACCTACCTTCGCGGCCCCGCCGCCTTACTGTGCGGCCCCGCCACCTACCTCCGCGGCCCCGCCACTTACCTTTGCGGCCCCGCCGCCTCCTCCCAGCGGCCCCGGACGCCGCCCTCTCAGCGGCCCCGCCGAGCCGCCCAGCAGCCGAGTCGCCCAGCAGCCGAGCCGCCCAGCAGCCGAGCCGCCCAGCAGCCGAGCCGCCGAGCCGCCCAGCCGCCGAGCCGCCCTGTCCGCAGCCGAGCCGCCCAGCAGCCGAGCCGCCCCGCCGCCGAGCCGCCCAGCCGCCGAGTCGCCGAGCTGCCGAGCCGCCCTGCAGCCGAGCCGCCCGAACCGCCCTGTCCGGTAAGAGCAGCGCCTCTCTCACAGCACTGCCCTCGCCCTACTGTTTGCACTGCTAGTCTACTGCTGTCATGGCTACCCCTAGTGTCCTCGCTTTTGACGCTGAGGGTCGGGCCATTGACTTTGACGTCTGGATAGATGACCTGCAGCTTTTCTTACAGTGCGACAGAGCAGACGGCCTCTCCCTCTTTGACCTCACTTCTGGTGCCTCTCCTGCCCCCGCTGCTGATGCTGACGCCACCGTTCGCTCACAGTGGGCCACGCGCGATGCTGCTGCACGTCTTGCTGTGCGTCGCCACCTGCCTACCTCTGAGCGTGCGCACTTTAGCCAGTACAAGAGTGCTCAGACCTTGTACGACGCTGTAGTTGCACGCTACTCCTCCCCTGCCACTACTGCACTGAGCCGCCTCATGCTACCGTACCTCTTCCCTGACCTTGCTGCCTTTCCCACAGTCGCTGACCTCATTACGCACCTCCGCTCTAGTGACACTCGCTACCGCGCTGCGCTTCCTGCTGAGTTCTGCGCCAAGAACCCCCCCCCCATGTACATCACCCTCTACTACATAGTCACCCGTCTCCCTGACTCCCTTCGCGTAGTCAGGGACCACTTCCTCTCGGTTTGTCCCACCACTCTCACCGTTGACCTCCTCGAGAAGGCCCTCCTAGCAGCAGAAAAGAGCATAGTTGCTGTAGGAGCCTCTCGTGGTGACCCTCGCACCCCCATCTTTGAGGGGTGTTCCCCCTCCCCTCTTTTGCCCTCTGTTGCCTCTGCTGCTGCGGCCGACCTCGCTGGTTTGGAGTCGGTTGGGGCAGCGTCTACCCCTAGCGGGAGACGCCGCCCTGGCAGGGGCAAGGGGGGCAGGGGCGCTGGAGGAGCTAGCGGGGGCGGTGGAGGCGGCGGTGGAGGTGGTGGAGGAGGTGGGGGTGGCGGTGGGAGTGGTGGCGGGGGTGGAGGTGTAGGTGGCGGCAGTGGAGGCGCAGGAGGCAGCGGCGGTGGCGGAGGGAGCGGAGGTGGCGGCGGTGGAGGAGGAGGCGGCGGAGGAGGTGGAGCTGGTCGGGGTGGCGCTGCGCAGAGGGTCAGCTCCGGTGGTGGTCAGCGCCAGCAGCAGCAGCAGCAGCAGCAGCAGCGCACTCGTGACGCCCCCTCCCCTCAGCAGCTCCGTGAGTGGTACACTGCACGCCAGAGGGGTGGGGGTGCTGGTCCGTGCACCTACGTCCTGCGCACCGGCGACCGCGCGGGTGAGCAGTGCGGGGGTGCGCACTCCACCCAGCGCTGCTTTGGCCGCCTCACGGACGCTTGGCGTCACCAGTTCCCTGAGGCCACTGAGATCCCCCGCTGGGGTGAGCTGTCTAGGGCGGGTGTAGCTGTCTTTGACCTTGACTTTGATGCTATTCTTGCTGCCGTGTATACTGTGACTATTAGTGATGAGGGTGACTGTTACCGGTGTTTTCCGCCCGACCCGGGCATTGAGACTGCTGCTCTAGGTACTGGTGAGGCTGCTGCTCTAGGTGCTGGCGAGGCTGCTGCTCTAGGTGCGTCTGCTCCCTCAGGTGCTGGTGAGTCTGCTCTCTCAGGTTCTGCGTCGGCTTCGGCCTCCCACACCTTCACACTTGACTCGGGGGCTTCTCGCTCCTTCTTTCGAGACCGCACCACACTCACGCCGCTTGGCCGGCCAGTTGCGGTCTCCCTGGCAGACCCCTCTGGGGGTCCTGTCCTTGCTCACTTCTCCACTGTCCTCCCGTGTCCGGCGGCCCCCTCTGGCACCCTGTCTGGTCTCTACCTCCCCTCGTTCTCTACGAACTTGGTGAGTGGTGCTGACCTACAGGATGCGGGGGTTCACCAGTTCACTCCTGCGAGTCAGCGGGTGACCCACTGCACGGACGCTCGGACAGGCCGCCACCTGGCCACGTTTACACGTCGGCCAGGGTCGAGCCTGTACACACTGACCACTGCGTCTCCTCCAGTCCCTGCGTCTGGTCAGGTAGTTGCGTCGGGTCAGGTGTTTGCTGCAGCGTCCAGGTCTGGTCCTGAGTCTGCCCCCTGCTCGTGTCGCCTCCTGTCTCACGAGACTCTCCTCTGGCACCACCGCCTTGGCCACCCCTCCCTGCTTCGTCTCCGGAGCATGGCCTCCCGTGTCCTTGTCTCTGGTCTTCCCCGGTCCCTCCCTCCCCTTCCTCCGGGGCCAGGCCCTACCTGCGTCCCCTGTGTCGAGGGACGGCAGCGGGCTACCCCTCACTCCTCCCAGTTTCCTCCGACAGAGGCCCCGCTGCAGACGCTTCACATGGACGTGTGGGGCCCGGCCCGCGTCCGTGGACAGGGTCACGAGCGCTACTTCCTGCTGGTGGTTGACGACTACTCGCGTTACACCACAGTCTTCCCCTTGCGCAGCAAGGGTGATGTCACTGAGGTGTTGATCGACTGGATCCGCGCAGCTCGTCTCCAGCTCAGGCGGAGCTTTGGCTCGGACTTTCCTGTTCTGCGTCTGCACTCTGACAGAGGCGGAGAGTTCTCCTCTGGCCTTCTGCGAGCCTACTGTCGTGCACGAGGCATCCGCCAGACCTTCACGCTTCCGGACTCTCCACAGCAAAATGGGATTGCTGAGCGCCGCATTAGCATGGTCATGGACGTCGCCCGTACGTCCATGATGCATGCGGCTGCCCCCCATTTTCTGTGGCCGTTTGCGGTTCGGTACGCGGCGCATCAGATCAACCTTCAGCCCAGGGTCTCCATGCCGGAGACCTCCCCAGCTTTGCTGTGGACGGGGAAGGTTGGCGATGCGTCTGCGTTCCGTGTCTGGGGATCTCGGGCGTTTGTCCGCGACTTGTCTGCGGACAAGCTGTCCCCTCGTGCTGCTCCTTGCGTCTTCCTGGGTTTCCCCCCTGACGCCCCAGGGTGGCAGTTCTACCACCCCACCTCTCGCCGTGTTCTGTCCTCCCAGGACGTCACGTTCGACGAGTCGGTCCCCTACTACCGCCTCTTCCCCTACCGCACTCCGTCCCTCCCCCCGCCACCGCTCTTCCTTGTACCAGGTCCCCCCCCGGTAGACCCCCTCCCCCCTCAGGGTCCTGCCCCTTCAGGTGTGTCCCAGGTAGACGCTGTTGAGCCTGTCGAGGTCGCTGGTGACTCTGGTGCTGCTGAGGGTGCTGAGCCTGGGGGTGCTGACTCTGGGGGTGCTGAGCGTGTGGGTGCTACGCCTGGGGGTGCTGAGCCTGGGGGTGCTGAGCCTGGGGGTGCTGAGTCTGGGGATACTACGACTGGGGGTGCTGAGCCTGGGGGTACTACGCCTGGAGGTGCTGAGCCTGGGGGTGCTGCGTCTGGGGGTGCTGAGCCTGGGGGTACTACGCCTGGAGGTGCTGAGCCTGGGGGTGCTACGCCTGGTGGTGCTGTGCCTGGCGGTTCACCGGGTGCTCCCTCTCGCCGGGAGCCACTCTCTCCCCAGGAGCTGCGTGAGTGGTTTGCCCGGCGCTGGAGGCGAGCTGCTGGAGCTGCTGGAGCTGGAGGTGCTGCGGGTACTGGAGGTTCTGTTGCTTCTGAGGGAGCTGGTGCCACGGGTCCCGGAGGTGCTCGTACTGGGAGTACTGGAGCTGCTGGACCTGCGGGTACTTCTGGAGCTGGAGTTGCTGCGGGTGTTGGCGCGGAGGCTACTGCTGTCGGTCCTGGAGGCGGTCCTGCTGGGGGTACTACTGGTGCTGCTGGGGGTTCTGGAGCTGGAGCTGCTACTGGTGCTGGTGCTGCCCCTGGGGTTGCTGGTGCTGTCCCTCCTGTGTCTGGAGTCGCCGCGCGGCCTCGGCCGTACTTCGTTCCGCTCCTTCAGCAGGTTCTTGGTCTCCCGCCTTCTACTGGTCCTCCTCCTCCCTTAGAGTGTCCACAGCCTGTCCCGTCGCAGTTACAGTTACAGCCGGCCTCCCCACTGCCTGCTCCGTCTCCCTACACTGGTCCTACTGGAGGTCTTGCTGAGCGTCGTGAGCCTGCGTCTCGCCCTGCGTCGCCTGTCCGTGCTGCTCGCACTAGTGGTCGCGGTTCGCGTCAGCGTCCTCCTCCTGTCCCTGGCACGCACCGGATGTCTCTGCGTCCGTCCACTGCTCCTCTGCGTGCCCCTTTGCCTTCTCCTCCTGAGTCTTCTCTTCCTACTCTTGCCGACCCGGAGTCGGACTCTCTTCGCGCTGCCAGTCCTACTGTCACGCGTCTCCTTGCTACGGTTGTCACTGACCCTTCCTTTGAGTCCACTGCTGCGTCTGCTCTAGTTGCTGAGCTCGTCAACTTTGCTGCTCGCTGTCGCCTAGACTACGTCGCCAGTCTTGTTGCTGAGTCTGAGTCTGTCTGTCCTCCGTCCGTCGGGGGTGAGTGTGCCCTTGGCACGGACGTCCTTGAGGACAGGCAGGAGGAGTTCCAGTGCTTGGCCGCTGCTTCACCTCATCTCGTGTCCGTACTGCTTACCCCTGAGGGAGACCCGGATGCACTTGACATCCCGACTCCGCGCTCTTACGCGGAGGCGATAGAGGGTCCCTACTCCTCTCAGTGGCAGGCAGCTATGGACGCAGAGATGGCTTCCTGGAAGTCCACAGGCACCTACGTTGACGCTGTTCCCCCTCCTGGGGCGAACATCGTCAGTGGCATGTGGATTTTCAGGGTGAAGCGACCGCCGGGTTCTCCGCCTGTCTTCAAGGCGCGTTACGTGGCTCGTGGCTTCAGTCAGCGGCAGGGAGTTGACTACTTTCAGACCTTCTCTCCCACCCCGAAGATGACCACTCTTCGGGTACTGCTGCACGTAGCTGCTCACCGTGACTACGAGCTACACTCTCTTGACTTCAGCACTGCTTTCTTGCAGGGCAGCCTGCACGAGGAGATCTGGCTGCGTCGCCCACCTGGCTTCACTGGGTCTTTTCCTCCTGGCACCCAGTGGAGCCTACGGCGGCCAGTCTACGGTCTCCGCCAGGCACCGCGTGAGTGGCACGACACACTGAGGACTACACTTGCGGCTCTTGGGTTTGCTCCCTCTACTGCCGACCCGTCGCTGTTTCTGCGCACCGACACTTCTTTGCCGCCGTTCTACATCCTCGTGTACGTCGACGACTTGGTCTTTGCCACTGCTGACACTGCTGGACTAGCCCACGTGAAGTCCGAGCTGCAGAAGAGACATACGTGCACTGACCTGGGTGAACTGCGCAGCTACCTTGGCTTGCAGATCACTCGGGACAGAGCACGCCGCACCATTACCCTGACTCAGTCACACATGGTGCAGCAGGTCCTTCAGCGCTTCGGCTTCACGTACTCCTCGCCTCAGGCCACTCCTCTGCCTACTCGCCACTCGCTCTCAGCTCTGCCTTCGGATGAGTCCGTAGAGTCGAGTGGCCCGTACCCAGAGCTTGTTGGCTGCCTCATGTACCTGATGACTTGCACACGACCTGACCTTGCATACCCTCTTAGCATTCTTGCACGCTATGTTGCTCCTGGGAGACACAGACCGGAGCACATGGCTGCAGCGAAGAGGGTGTTGCGCTACTTGTGCAGTACGTCGGGCATGGGGCTTGTGCTTGGAGGGCAGAGTCCAGTGGTCCTTACTGGGCACGCAGACGCTTCTTGGGCTGACGACCAGGCTACGCAGCGGTCGTCACAGGGTTACACCTTCAGCCTTGGTTCCGGCTCTGTTTCGTGGCGGGCTACTCGCTCGTCTTCTGTTCTCGGCTCCAGTTGTGAGGCTGAGATCTACGCAGGAGCCATGGCTGCACAGGAGCTTCGCTGGCTCACCTACCTGCTGACTGACCTCGGAGAGTTGCCTCGTTCTCCTCCAGTGCTGTACGTAGACAACAAGGCCATGCTGGCCTTGTGTCGGGAGCAGCGACTGGAGCACAGAACGAAGCACATTGCTCTCCGCTACTTTCTTGCTCGTGAGCTGCAGCAGCGTGGTCAGCTGCGTCTTGCGTACGTGGCCTCTGAGGCCAACACTGCTGATATCTTCACCAAGGCACTTGCGCCTTGTGACCATCAGCGCTTCTGTACTCAGCTGGGCCTTGTGCCTACCTTGCCTCACTTGCTCACCTCTTGACCTTGCTTGTACTGTTACATATATATATACCTGCTCTTGTCTGTCTAGCCCTTTTTATATATATGTGTACTCCTGCTTGTGAACTGGCCTTGTGGCCTTGAACTTGTGCTCGGAATGTGTGGTGACTTTGTGATCCACCCTGAGCTTGTTTTGCTTTGCTTTGCTTGACTGGTCTTGTGACCCCTTGTTCTCCCCCACTTTGCCTATGGGGGTGTGTCAGATTTATATGACATAGCTACTGTAGGCTATAGTGGGGTAGCACATATGGGGTACAGTTTTCTAGGGTTTGCTTCTTGTACCCAACTTTCACTTAGTCATTTCATTCCTCGTTTCTTCTCAACGCCAGCACCAGCAGAAAAGCCAGTACCTGCAACAGCAACAACGCCGGTGCCAGCAGCAACAACGCCAGTACCAGCAGCAACAACACCAGTACCAGCAACAACAACGCCAGTACCAGCAGCAACAACCCAGTACCAGCAGCAACAACGCCAGTACCAGCAGCAACAACGCCAGTACCAGCAGCAACAACACCAGTACCAGCAGCAACAACGCCAGTACCTGCAGAAACAGCTACAGCAACAGCAGTAGCAGAACCAAGAGAATTACTATCATCAACCTCCACTTCCTCCTCCTCGCGTCTCTCCACTGCAGCCCTGTCAGCAGCAGCCACGTCCACCTCCCCAAACTAAGATCCAATCTTTGCCGCCCCAAACCGCCTCCTCGGCATGGTGTGGGCGGCAAAGCGCGACGCAGGCCTGTGGTTCGCAGCAGCAGAGCAGACCGACAAGCGCGTGGGCATCCAAGTCCTCCCCATCACGCCCTTCCTCGCCCGCCTCTTCCCAGACCCCTCCTTCAATCGCCAGGTGGTGCAGTGGGTGCTGCCTGTGCTGGGGGGGGACGGCACCACGGACGAGTGGCGGGGGTTCGCATGGGCGCTGCAGGCCACGTATGACCCGGCGGCGGCGAGGGAGAATATTGAGAAGCTGACAGCGTTTGACGATGGGAATAGCAAAACCAACATGCTCTGGTGGCTTGCTGCCAACTCTCCTTAGTGCTGCCAATTCGCCTTGGTGCTCAGCTTGGCCTTCCGCGGAAGGCTGCTCATCTTTCCTCCAGTTTGTTATAGAGATGCATCCAGCAGTGCTGCAGCAGATGCATGGGTAGGTGGGTTGGGCTTTTCTTTTTCCTTGTTGTCTATGCCTGCTAAGGCTCCAAGCCAACGCCTTCAGTTGGCTGCGTGTAGCCTCTCCGCTTGGTGCTCAGCTTGGCCTTCCGCGGAAGGCTGCTCATCTTTCCTCCAGTTTGTTATAGAGATGCATCCAGCAGTGCTGCAGCAGATGCATGGGTAGGTGGGTTGGGCTTTTCTTTTTCCTTGTTGTCTATGCCTGCTAAGGCTCCAAGCCAACGCCTTCAGTTGGCTGCGTGTAGCCTCTCCGCTTGGCAGGCAGTTTTGGCCTGTTCATTATGCACGGGTAGGTGGGCTGTTCGTTCATTCATTGTATCTATTCAGCTTTATATATTTAGCGAACGTACCACCAGCCCCACCCGCACCTCCTGCTCCTCCAACTCCCCCTACGCCACCTACGCCGCCTACCCCGCCAGCTCCGCCGTCACCTCCTGCTCCGCCTACACCTGCGGTACCCGAGCCTCCTTACCCATACCTGTTCGAACCGGTGAACGAAGAGGGCGAGTTTCCTACGCCACCTGCTTCTGTCGACGGGCCTCTGGCCGCCGACACCAACGCCGACAACGACGATGACTCTAACGAGTCTGTTCCTGCGTTTCCTGTGCCTGATTTCTCCCCTGACGTCCTTCTCGAGGAAGAAGCGTCTGTAATCCCACGTGATTCTATGAACCCCGATGCTTGCAACAGGGTTACGCAGCATCGTCGGACATCCCGGACAATGGCTGAGAAGGCAGAGTGGCTCAGGCGCATGCACGAAGAGCATCTGACGGTGCGCGCGACGGCACGAATGGCTTATGTCAAGCCCATCAGCGTGCGTCGGTGGAAGAAAGCGGAGGAGCATATCACGTCTGCTGCCGGCTGCCGTCGTCGTCTCGTTGGTGGCGGGAGGCAAGCTAAGTACCCTGACATGGAATTGTCGGTGTACAAGCAATTCCTGTCCTACTGCGCCTGTGGCATGACCGTGCCAATAAAGCTGCTGTAAACATGGAGTCGTTCGTCGATGAAGAGGCGCCACCTCGACGTTGACTGGCGAGCGTCGCCTCGGTGGACGTAGCGGTCAACGGTTAACGGGGGGGGGGGGGGGGTGATTATTCGTGGGGTTTCGTATGGTTCTTTATTCTTACCCCTTGCCCTGGCGTCTGTGTTTGCTGCTTTGCGCCGCAGATTGCAAGTCGAAGTGTGTGAGCTTCTGGCACTTCTGTCGCAAGCAAATCATCTGTCATAGCATCGAACCCTGGAACATGGTCAATGCTAACTAGACGCCAGTGTTTCAGGAGATGCCGTATGAGCGCACGCTGCACCACCGTGGTGAACGCACCATCCAGATTTGCAGCGCTGGCTACGAGAAAGAGTGTATGACAATGATGCTGGCAGTCACGGGAGATGGTCGCAAGTTGCAGCCCATGGTGATTTTAAAACGGTAGACGCTTCCTAACGTGCGCGTCCCTCCAGGTAAAGTTTATGCTGATATACTGTTGGGTTTGCATCCCGAACGAACACTAACCCACTCTCAATTTGGTCGCAGGTATGCTCATCCGAGCCCAGGAGCGCGGCTGGATGGATGCCAGCCTTGTCATGACTGGGTGCAAAATGTGCTGCTTCCTCCCCCCCCCCCCCCCGTCTCCCCCCCCCGAGTCACACGGTCCAGGGCCCTGCTGGTCCTGGACTTGTATCGAAGCTGTACTTGTGACGCTGAGGTGGCAAAGTGTGGTCCCTGCCATCATCCCTGGAGGATGCACCCCCCCACTGCAGCCTCTCGACGTCGCGATTAACCGCGCCTTCAGAGCACGAATATGCGAGCTGTATAACGAGTGGTTTTCGACCGTCAGCATCGACTCCTTCACCGCTACTGGTAAGAAATATGTGTGCGCTTTGTGCTTCTGCAGCTGCTTGCGCGATGAACTCTTAGCTAACAGTGTGGTGATGCTTGTGTCGCAGGAAATCTGAGGAAGCCCCCTGCAGATGTTGTCCTTAAGTGGATAGCAGATGCATGGGAGGGCGTCCCTGAGGGAACCATCACCCGCTCGTTCAAGACGTGCGGCATCAGCAACACGCCTGACGGGCGCAAGGACCATTTGATCTTCGCGCACATGCGCGATGCAGCACAGGTCGAAGTCCACGACGACGTGCACGCTGCTGGCGATGTCAGGGAGTAAATTAAACCACTCTACGCATCTGGCGCCCATGAAGATGAGGAGGCTGGGGCTGATGGTGACGAGGAGGAGAGTAGGTAGGCATGAGTGGCTGGCGCCCTGGATAATGAGGAGGTACCGGTAGGCGAGTAGGAAGGCCAGATGTTACCGTAACCCTGGTAGTGGTAAACTAGTTTTTTATAGGTTGTAGGGTTCCTAACTGTGTAATGCCATGTAGTGCCATATAAGACCCTACTACAATAAAGTAGACAAAGTGAAAAAACCTTAGGAAATTTGAGGAAGGGGGGGGTCTTATAATCCTAAATTTAAAAAGGGTGGTCTTCACGAGATTAGGCCGGAATAAAATACCCTTGGTCCGGAAAGAGGACCCAGGGTATTCTCCGCGGGGGGGTACTGTATCCGGGAGATTAGGGTTTAATGCTGCAAAAGCTTTGTGATAAGGTGCTTCACCAATTACGTAGTTTGATCGTGCTAGAAAGGAATTGTGCCAACGTACCAGAAGCTTGATTGTAGAATATGATAGAACTGGAAGCTTGCAATAGAATAGATTGATTACAAATAATGGCAATCGAATAACAGAGCAGGGTACTTATATAAGTAGCTAACCCCCTGAGGACAGCTCCATTCACACCAATAATGGCGCACCAATAATTCTACCCGCCAACACTAAAATATAGCAGCATGTGTAAATTCCGTACGATTGCATTTCTAATACTCCCATTTCCTGTAGATTTTAGTGAGTTCAATTTTTAGACGATAGTTGTAAACGACGCTGATTGCGGAGTGAATTTTGGTCGCGTCGTTGATTGCGTAGTAGATGTGTAATTTAAGATCACGCCAACGCTGATCACGGCGAGCTGAACTGTCAAGCTATGTTTGTAGAAATAGATATGCTGCAGTGAGTTGCATGTTAAGGGGTTACAAAAGATTATCGACACTTTGCTTGTATCCTCTCCTTGACCTAGTCTCACCTCATTCTCTCCAACTATATGAAGTTAGTTTCTAAGATGGTATCAGCAGAAGGTTCTTCCCTAGCCTAAAAAAACGTGCCCCGTCCCGCCCCGTAACGCGCCTCGCCCTGTTCGTAACGCGCCTCGTCTTGTAAGAACTAGAAACGAGGAATGAATGAACTAGGAAAGAGGTGGGTACAAGTAAGGAAACCTAAAGTGTTGTACCCCATATTGTCTACCCCACTACAGCCTACACAGACTATAGCATATAAGTTTGATACACCCCCATAGGCAAAGTGGGGGAGAACAAGAGGTCACAAGACCAGTCAAGAAGAGCAAAGCAAGCCCAGGGTGGATCACGACGTCACCACACATTCTTAGCACAAGCAAACGGCCACAAGGCCAGTTCACATGCAGAGTTATATAAAACAGAACAAACAATACAGTGATCACAACCTAGCAAGTGTAAGCATGCAGGTATATTTATAGAGATCACAGTACAAGCAAAGTCAAGAAGTGAGCAAGTGAGGCCAAGTGGGCACAAGGCCTAGAACAGTACAGATTCGCTGATGATCACAAGGCTAAAGTGCCTTGGTGAAGATATCAGCAGTGTTGGCCTGAGAGGCCACGTAAACAAGACAAAGCTGACCATGCTGCTGCAAATCTCGAGCAAGGAAGTAGCGAAGAGCGATGTGCTTCGTTCTGTGCTCCAGTCTCTGCTCGCGACACAAGGCAAGCATTGCCTTGTTGTTAACGTACAGAACTGGAGGAGAACGAGGCACCTCTCCCAGGTCGGTCAGCAGGTAGGTGAGCCAGCGAAGCTCCTGTGCAGCCATGGCCCCTGCATAGATCTCAGCCTCACAGCTGGAGCCGAGAACAGAAGACGAGCGGGTAGACCGCCACGAAACAGAACAGGAGCCAAGGCTGAAGGTGTAACCCAGTGACGACCGCTGCGTAGCCAAGTCGTCAACCCAAGAAGCGTCTGCGTGACCAGTGAGGACAACTGGACCCCGTCCTCCAAGCACGAGCCCCATGCCCGACGTACTGCACAAGTAGCGCATCACCCTCTTAGCTGCCTTCCAGTGCTCTGGTCGGTGTCTCCCGGGCGCAACGTAGCATGCCAGGATGCTAAAAGGGTAAGCAAGGTCAGGATGAGTGCAGGTCATCAGGTACATGAGGCAGCCCACAAGCTCTGGATACGGGCCACTCGGCTCTACGGACTCATCCGAAGGCAGAGCTGAGAGCGAGTGACTGGTAGACAGAGGAGTGGCCTGTGGCGAGGAGTACTGGAAGTCGAAGCGCTGAAGGACCGGCTGCACCATGTGTGACTGAGTCAGGGTGATGGTGCAGCGTGCTCTGTCCCGAGTGATCTGCAAGCCAAGATAGCTGCGCAGCTCACTAAGGTCTGTGCACGTGTGTCTCTTCTGCAGCTCCGACTTCACTAGAGTCAGTTGTCAGACATACATGATATAGCCTGTGTAGGCTGTAGTGGGGTAGCCAATAAGGGGTACAGCTTTTCTAGGGTTTCATACTTGTACCTCTCTCATTCCTAGTCAATCCATTCCTCGTTCTTATTCTCACATGGTATTAAAGCAGAATCGTTCCTAGGGCCCACCGAACGTTCCGCCCAGCCGTGCCTGCCCCTGCAGCCGTGCCTGCCCCTGCAGCCCGTGGATGCTGCCTCTGCAGCCGTGCCTGCCCCTGCAGCCCGTGGACGCTGCCCCTGCAGCCGTGCCTGCCTCTGCAGCCCGTGGGAGCTGCCTCTGCAGCTAGCACGCCGCCCTAGACCCTGCTCGTCGCGACGCCCCTGCGGAACCCGCGCGGCGTCCCCCCCCTGCTCTTCGCGGCGCCCCCTGGACGCCGCCCCTACTCGTCGCGGCGCCCCCGGGGCGTCGCCCTTACTCGACCTACCCACCCATCGCGGCCCTGCCCTGCACCCGCCCCTGGTAAGCGCCCCTGCTGCCCGTCGCGTCGCGCGCCCCTGCTGCCCACCGCGCCGTGCGCCCCTGCAGCCCGTCCCGTCACACGCCCCTGCAGCCCGTCGCGTCGCGCGCCCCTGCAGCCTGTCGCGTCGCCCGTCGGCCCTGCCCGTGCCCGTCGCGTCGCCAGAGCGGGCTGCCCCAGCCCGCCGCGACGCCCGTCCGCCCTGCCTGCCTGCGCGCCGCCCCTGCCCGCCCCGCGACGCGCTGCCCCATGCAAGCCGCCCGCGCGCAGACCCTTGCAGCCCGCGCGCCGCCCGTCTGCAGCCCGCGAGCCTCCCCTGCAGCCCGCGAACCGCCCCTGCAGCCAACGCGCCTGCCTCTTGCAGCCAGCGCACTGCCCCTGCAGCCCGCGAGCCACCCCTGCAGCCTGCGAGCCACCTCTGCAGCGCCGAGTGCGCCCTGCCAAACCCTAAAATAAATAAATAGTTATTATAAAAAAACAAGAGGCGACAAAGTCGTCGTAGGGTTGCGAAGCGTTTTACGTAACTGTAAGTACACAATTGTGTACAATTTCTGAAACTGTACATAATACTGTAGTATCACACTAGACTGGGTAGTTTATGAATTGGTTAGTTACTAAAAACCGCTGCAGGATTCGAACTCTTGACCTTTGGATGAACTATAAAATTTCAGTCGCCTGCACCAATGCTGGTACAGATATTGCGCTACGAATTTTCATTATTCTAAGCACTTGCGACGAATCTGACACTTCCCTAGGGTTTGTTCGACCTTTTTTTTCTCTCCCTCGCTGGTTGAGCTCCCTGGTAGTCACGCTCCACCTACTATGTCAAGTTCCTACTAAGGTGAGAATAGCCCTAATCTCTCAGGTAGAAGCCCTAATCTCTCAGGTAGAATAAAGTTAGAAGAATACGAGCTAGACTAACACGTCTTAAACTCTTCTCATAATCGTTTACTCTAGTGTTGATCGGTTTTGAAGGATGCAAGTTGGCTATAGTTTAGGTTCTAGGCTTGTTGTTAAGACTTTAGCTTTAGTTCTTTCATAAGCCTGCATCCGTTCATCTGTTCTTCATCGACCCCTTTCCTCCGTTGCATCCTTCTTACCTCGTATTGGCTTTTTCTCTTTGACGTTCTTACTTCCTTACTACTTACCGTATGTTCTTGCTATGTCGATTTAAACATCTACCATTCCTTGCCGTTCCACACTTTTCTTATCCATTTACTTGATTTCTATCCAGCTTTTCTACTCATTCAATGGTTATTCTCATTCAACTTTGCGCGATCCAGTCGTAGCTAGGTGAGTTCGTACTTATGAAAATTTCCTCGTTTAATTCTTCTACCAGCAACTCAGGTGCTTCTTATTTTATGTTCTCCTTACCTTCGTTACATTCTCTAGAGAGTTATCTGTTTCCAAATCCAAGTTTATCTTTCTTCCTTCAACCTCTACCGGTAGATTGTACTTTCGATTTGGTAATTCATTCTTTATACAGTGCCTTCTCTATTCTGTATTTACTTTAGTTGTGTTCTGATTTCATTTTATAATCTCTCCTTATTAGCCTTCTGTTTTTTCGTTTCCTCTACATCTTCCATGATTGATTTCTTTCTCTCCCCCTTTCTTTCTTTCCTTCCGTCCGTCTCCTCCTGCTG